CCCAGCCATATTTTTATCTTTCAGGTGCGATTCAATGTCCAAGTGCAGTGTGTTGGTGAGCAGCGAAGCATTCGAAGACCCGTGCCCGGGCACGCAGAAATACGTAGAAGTGCATTATACGTGTGTGCTAGGTTGGTTTCTCTTCGCCTGGGTCGGAGGCACGAAGCCCGGCTGCAGCTCTCGTTTCCTGGCGGCGGCGGTGGCGCCGCCGCCGCCGCCGCCGCGCGCTCTCAACGCGCCATTGGCCATTTGCTCTCAGCTGCGCCCTAGCTAGTGATGCCGTTGGTGGCCTTAGCTCCGGGAGCGCACGCCCCGTGCCATTAATATGTAATGCTTATTTCAGTTATTTCCCAATTCAGTAACATAGGACGAAATTTCATTATTTCATTATGGGACTAAATTTCATTATAGACTATTTTGAAATTGCTACTATACGCCGACTTATCACATGTGCTCATATTTCTTTTGGAGATGCATTACTTACGAAATAATGTGAGTGTGAAATTGTCGGGAATTCACGAGATACGTTCTTTACACGCTTTGAGAAACTTTTTTATATTCATGTAAAGAATTGTTATATCCAGTACAAAATGTAAGTTAACACATGCGTATAGGACCTGCATTTAAATAAATATCCATATTTGAGCATGTAAAATTTAGAAACGTTTTCCTTATAAAAGATCTATTCTGAGAATGAAAAAGAATAGAAACAATCGAATTCAAAAATCTATATTTATGCGTATGATTTTGTCATAATATTATTTTCTTGTTTTGTTTGAAATGTATTGTGTATCATAAGTTGTTGCAAATGGCAATGGTGAATTTAATAATGTACCTGAATGACACATTGAATATTAATTTTTTCCTCTAAAAATAGATGTTTTACAAATTTTCTTACAAAATTATGTAAAGATGAGCATTAATAGTGGCGGCGGCAAAGAAAATTATTGAAAGAAACGAGAGATGTAGCAAAGGCCTGTGCTCTTATAAGTTGAATTTGAATTCAGGAGGAAAAATACTGTTATCTACAATTCTTGGAAATAATATGTTTGAATATTGTAGCAAAACTTTTCCTGTTTTCAAATTTACCTTCATCTTATTTTCACAAATTAACAGTTCTTGTGGGTTCTGTTGTTTGGGAAAATAAATATTTTAAGTTTAAGATAGTTATAAGATTAAATGTTATGAGATTTTGGATTTTTATTATCAGATGTAGCCAGCAGCAGAACTGCAGCATTCTTGCAAGCACAAGTATGTTTGGTGATCCTTGTCCAGGCACTCTAAAATATTTAGAGGCTCACTATCAGTGTATGCCAGGTAGGATCCTTTTCAACATATATTCAAGAAATTATCCAATGAGACCAGAACATTTTTACTTCATAAATATTAATTTTATCAAAGCAATTTTTTTTAGTGCATGTTTTGTTGTTGTAATGAACTCGGTGGAGAAACAAGAAGGTGAACATTGTAACACTGTTTTCAATTGTCCAAGTAAAAATCTAATCATGAAAACATTAAATAGCTACTGTTCATATTTAAGAGATAGAAAATGATATTATTTCACAATATCAGTAATGTTAGAACACCCGAATAACTTGCAACTATAGCCAATTATTAATGTTGATAATTTTTTATACGCCTTCACAGTTTGATTAATTCAGTGGAAATGAAAACAAAGGTTTTTTTGGTTATTATAACGCTTAATAAGTTTTTGAGCTGTAATGTACTCTAGCATCTTAACTTTTCTATATTTTATTTTGTATACCAGGAAACTTTCGTTTTGTGTTATTGTCGCCTGTGTAAGATACTGAGATAGAAACACAGTTTCACATTTACTAGGTTTTGCTGTATTCTGCAATAGAACAATTTATCTTATAGAACAATCATATTCATAGTTGATAGATTTACTTATTAAAGTAACATTTTTAATTGTCACTTACACAACAAATTGTTTTTCGCAAACATCTAATATGCTTTCAGTATTCACAATCAATATAAATGGCGATCAATACTCTCCTTTGAATCTTGTTATTTCCTCTGAAGGACATCCGAAAGGGAGTAAATGATAGAATGAGTGAAAAGTTCATTGCAGTAAACTTTAATTTCTTGTTAAATGCTTCTATAAAATTAAAATAAATTTTCATTATGAATTTGAATAAAATGATGCATAGCATTCAGTCTTATTGAAATTAATTATATATTGAAATCTTTTTTTATTTTATTTTTAGTAAATATAATATATGAGTTTATAAATGTTTCTACTTTCATAAAACTTTTCTTTGTTTTGGTGCTACAATAATATTTGTAAGTGTATTGTGAATGGAACTTCTTAAACAGGTAAAAACTTAAATAAATAACAATCATCTTCCGAAGAAAAACGGATTCACTAGTATCTTAAAATATTACAATGAGAAGAACATCTTAACGGGATTTACGATTCTAAATACTATTTGAATAAGAAATTCTACGAAGGAGCGCTCTAATTACCAGTATATGCAGTCTCGTAATATATATGTAATATAATATATGTATTTGCGTAGTACAGTGGCGAGGCGTCTGGTCACCGATAAATGTAGTGAATGCCAAACAAAATTATAAAATAATGCATTTTAAATATTTTAGAGAAGAATTTAATTTTTGTGGAATATCTACATATATATTAATAAGTAATGGTAAAAAAACAGATGATAAATAGAAGTGAAATACTTTAACTGAGTGCTGAGTTTGCCTGCCCGCGCCGCTCACGTATCCTCCGGCCGCTTCGCGCTATATTCCTTTTCACGGCCATAAGCGCTCCAGGCTTTCGGCTGTCCCGGCCATGCGTAGTATGAACTTGAAGCGGTGTATTGTTATTGTGTACTCTCTGATTTTTAGTGCTTTTACTGGGTTTGTTAGGCGTTTTTAGTTGTTGTTTTTTAGTTGTCATCTACTGCGAAGAAAGTTAAGAATTCGTAGTTTAGCGGAAACATTACTTGTTTTACTTGCATTTCAAGAGAAGCCCTAGATTGTGATTTTTTTCCCTTTGATCATGGAATGAAGCATTTTTCGGAGAATTTGTTTGCTAACTTGTATTAAAATACTTAACATCTCGGCTCGTTATGTTCCGCGAGACATCTTTTCGTAGTGTTGAAATGATAGCGACCACTCTGTGAACTCGTTTCGAATTGTTTGCTGCCAAGGGTTGCACTTTCTTGCAGAACAAGCAATAATCATAACGGAAAGATAATCGAATATCAAAATAATTTTAAAATAATTATTTCATTTCACAGTTATTGGATTGAATGAATTTTAGTTCTGCCGACAAACCATGGCTTCTAAAGCAATTTCAATCTCAGTATTGCCTTAAGCCAGCTAGCCGGATTGCTTACATATGCTCCGTGAAGTCACGGTGATTAAGGAATTCGAGACATCGCGAGTTCCTGGATGGGTGACTTTCTGGGACCACATCCTGGGATCTAACGGCGCCGATTCCCTGGTCGAAGGGACGAAATGCAACGACTGACTACGGCTGACGATGACTGACTAGGTTAAAGAAGGATTACTCCCATACGTGTTCGATGCCTGCAGGTGGCTGTAAATAGAACGTTGTTACGAATTAATGTAACAAAACATTTTTTAAAAAAAAGTCCAGATCATGTAATGCGAAAAACATCAGAAAATGGGCTTCGTTTCGAGATTTTAAAAAACGGAACCCTACGAATTTACCTACGAATACACAAAAATACCTCGCCTCGCCACTGATACAGTTTAGCTTTATTGTAATACAGATATATCAATGGTTACATTCATTCATTACCTTGGTATCATTTCAGTGCATTTTCTGAAGAAAACTAGTCACACTAGAATTCAAGACGTACGGATTTACGTTTATTAAAATCTTATTTTCTGAAGAAATGCAAACTGAGGAGTTTAGATAAACGTTTCAATTATTTCAGTGTAAGGTCACAGATTTTACTTCTCTCTCTCACGACAATAATTTCCCCCCTCGTAATATAAATTGTTTTTTCTTAATTGCTACCAACTGACTGAAAAGTGAAAATAATTTGTAATAACGATATTTTCTTTGTAAAAGAAAGGTCAGGTTAAATAGCATTTACCTTCCTTACTGTCGTAACGTGCCGTATCCAATCCACAACGCAATAAGCAAGTTTGTGCTACAGATGGAAAGTTCGTCCTTTTTATGTATTTTTAGTATTTTTTTTCTTCTAGTTAAAATAAATTTGAAAATGCGATTGTCAACTTAAAACGAGAATTTAAACCAGTACACAAGAAACGGAGTAAAGACTGTTGCATTTGTATCTTTCTCTTTTCAATGTTTGTAGGCCTACTTCCTATTTGTACAGTAGTTTTGCCTATTTTTTAGTATATCGTTTATAATCGTAATTTATTCTGTAAATTACTGTATTCATAGCCTTGGGATCTTTCAGTAGAAAATTGTCATGATATTGAAATGCACGTTTAGGACTTGGTAAATTTATATATATACATACACACACATACATACAAACACACATACACATTGAGAGCGATATGAACTTTAAGCAAGGAAAATTTATGGATATTACCTAATAAAAGTACGGTCAAGCGTTGCTAACAATAAAATGGTTTTACACTTGGTTACTTTAAAAAAAGTATCAAACACACTGTGCTGGACAAATTTATATTATATCTTTAGAATTGAGTTTCTTGTATGTATGAGTCTTAAGTCCGGACCAATTGGCAGTGGCGTATTCTCTGCGAATTTAAGGCATGAATTTCCAAAATTCCAACCGAAATCGTTTATTTTGCTGATGTTTCTCGATTGGTATTTGACTTTACCGTAATCAGGAGTTTAACAAGCCCGAGTATAAGTGTTTCACTAATCACTTACCAATTGTCAGAGTAGTAGTGAAAATTGGGATGGTTGAATTTGTCGAAAGAAAAGTGGGGTTACTCAGAATGCCAGATATATGCGTGGAGATTTTGATTTAATTACAGAATAATAATGAAGATAGTAGCACTTTTTGTGTACCTATTCAACTTAATAATGACAAATTACAAATTGTGATCTCTCTGGCTCATTATGCTTACTATACGTACACACCCACGGCAGTGGTAATTGAAGCAGACGTGTTAGAAAAAGCATTCTGTGCCAACTTGTTGTTTCAGTCAATTTTGAACTTTGTAAATGGAGAATTTATTATCCATCCAATTTACTCTAAGAACATTTCGCCATTATTCACGTATCATGAGGAGTATGGTCAGATGTGAGGGGGTTCTGGGGTAGAAGCCTCTCTATCGCACCTTTCTTTCCGAAAAATTAGCGTGATGAAACGGGAAATAAATAATAGTTATTACGTTTCTAATTCTAAGAAGCGCCCGGATGCTTACATAACGAGGTCGAGAGGGGAGCGATTCAATGTTAAATCAACGATGTTTCTTAAAAATACGGTTGTTTCATCTTTTAAGTATTCTCGGTATCTGAGCTTTAGGATATAAGAGACTGAATAATTTGGTGAGTAAAGGGTAAACAGTGGAGTCAATATGTTCTGAAGGCCCCAAGTACCTCGAGGAAAATTGCATACCTAGTTCGGTTGTAGTATGAAAAAAATATTTTATTGCTATATGACATTCCTGTGGCCAGATGTTTCGTGTGTAATGACAACATGTTGCAATATCGAATTTTGTGGAATATGGCTAGCGATTGTGAACATGGCTGAACCACCGCATGCCTTAAATGGAAGTGGAGGACACGCCACTGCCTTCAGTTGAGAGGGAGGGCTCATTTGCTGACGGATATTGGCTGACGCAAAAGTCTTAAATCGCAGCCGAATTTTAGTTGTTATTTCTGCCGTTCAAAGCGCCACCGCGCAATTCCCGATTCATATTCATGCCCGAATATTGTGATCCAATTGACACTTCACTATAAATTTTCAAAATTGCGACAAGCCTTTGGCCAACGCGAGTTACATAAAACAACCTTGGGTGCGTACCAACAGTGATTTCCAACACATTTTAATGCGGAGCCCTGTTGACGTATCGCCACGCATGCCCAAGGTGGAGACTTGTACGCTGTCGCCCTAAACATTTTCTTTAAAGCAAACTTGAGTCCGTGCAATGCACAAATTCTAACCTACTTTTAAAAATAAAATTGGTAATTTTCAAATAAAAAATAAATTTAAAAAAACTAAAAATTCGATGTAATTTAAAATGGAACTCGTAAGCAGGGAAACGACGAGCCTGTCGTTTCCACTTCAGCCATAGCTTCTCTCCACTTATTACCCCGAGACTGTTACACGCAAACTTGACGCTGGTGGCGCTTCGATCGCCAGGGAGGAGAACTCTTTTAAGTCGGGCGCGATTCGGCGCGGTGGTTGTGACGGCGGCCCGGGCGGGCGTTGTTGCAGCGGCCACCACCACCACCACGAGCAGGCCCAGCCCGCCCTGGCTCATCACGTCGCAGCCCAGCGTGTGGAGCACGGCCAGTCGCTGACGGTTGCTGCGACCGCCGCACAAGGCGCCAGTACCCCGAAGGCGGCGGGGCGGGGCCCGGCGGGGCGGGCCGACGCGCCCCACGCCCCCCGGCGCCGCCTCGCCCCAGCGCCCGCGCCCGCTCCCGCCCGGGTCCAGGCCCGGCCCGGCCCACCTTCGGCCCAGCAGCTCGACGTATGGCCGCCGCAGCAGCAAGCGCCAGCTCAGCAGCGCGCGCCGCGGCGGGGCCGGGAGCGGCGCCCGCGGAGACGCTGCTGCCGCACGCGCCGACCACGCCGCCGCCCGCGCCCACCACCGCCGACTGGAGGACCACCCGCCGGACCACCACAGGTCAGCTGCGCTTCGCGATCGACTACTGTTGAGGAGACAGCGCACCGGTTTCAATGTAGTGGGGACTTCCGACGCCTTGCTTCGTGCCGGTTTCACTGGTGGAATTGGGGTTCTCCTTACAAATTCCAATATTTTGAGAATCGAATTGAGTGCTGTGATTAGTAGTTTTTCGAAATGTCACCCCATGTTACATGTGTCGCATATTAATTTTAGTCACGTTACAATCACGTGTGTTAATTGGACCGTAGACATGTCAGTCGCAATAGAAAATAATTTGAATTTTTATTCAGTGGCACACTCAGGATTCTTCTCGTGTGTGTGAATAGGAGGGGGCACACTGCAGGTATAGTCTTTTGTTTTCTTACAAAGAAATTTTCATGTTTGTTGAGCATAAAATGTATTTTTATTTGCTGATTTGTCGTTAATATAGAAATTAGTACTAAAAGCTATATTCTTGAATGTGCATCATTGATTTGGGTGGGGTGGGAGGCTGAAGCTTCCATGACTCCCACCCCCGGTTGTGCCACTGACTTAGACTTATTTAATCGAGTAATAATCTTGTACCGGGAATCTGCGATTTGTTTACAGAACAACTCTTATTATCGGATTCTGCTAACGTAAAAGTTGATCAATCTTCTTCTTATATGTAGTACATTATTTCCCCCAATACTTGTGTAATCAGAATCCATGCTTTGTGGCTTGCTGCTACTTAGGTAGCAACAGTAGAGATTCTGTAATGAGATTTAATTGATTATTTTCCCTTGTTCGTGGTCATTTTCAGCAGATCCCAGAACATTTTAGCTTTTAAATGCAATGCTTGCTAGACTTATTCGCGATGTGTAGGCAGCAAAATCATGATTGTGTGTCCTTAGTCTTTGCTTTGCTACGGGCATCATTGAGAGTACCTGTCCTCTTCAAAAACTCTGAGAGCCTAAAGTCGATCACTATCGTGTATATATTTCTTTTTTCATTCACCACATCCGATGGTTCGATGGTTTTGTTTTGACCTAGGTGAACGTGTGATAGCTTGTCAAAAGCTAATCTAAGTCAGAGTCTTGAGGTAAGGAGCTTGGGGTAATAAAATGAAGAATGTCGTCATAAAAAGTACAATGGGTAATAGCGTTAGTGTTGTTGATACCCTAACAATCCGAACATGTGGTTCGGATCAGAAGAAAGCTTAACAGTAGATAGCCTAAACAACCGAGGAATCGAAGAAACAGTAAATTTCCAAAAAAACAAGAAAATGCGGCGTTTGCTGTCAAAAGCAATTCATTCCGTTTTAGGGATTTTTCAAGAGACGAAAATATCTTCTTGCGTTTGACGCGGTTTGATATGAACGAGATGCATTCTCCCTACATTTTGGTGGAAATAAACTGGATTTGAAGTAGTATTTCCCTTCGTGAGGTTATAAGGTCCCCGTAAACTGCGCAAAAATGCAACAAAAATGTACATTTAGGTAAATAACGGAACGAGCTGGTTGGCCAGCAAATATCTAAGATGTAAGTTACTAAGATGTAAGTAGTAAATATCTAAGATGCGTAAAGTGCTTAAAATGCGGCGTGGTCCAGCCGTCGGTGCGTGGCAGGCGGCGTTGACGGGGACGCGCGTGTGTTGCAGCGTCCAGCACGGCGGCGGTGGAGTCGGCGGCGCCGCCCCCCAGCGTCACGTGGTTCCAGGAGAGCGAGCTGGCGCAGCTGTGCGGGCCGGTGAGCGCGCGCAACCTGTACTGGAACTGGACGTGGGCCGGGGACGTGAACGTGCAGCCGTGCCCGGGCGGCGCCACGGGGCTGGCGAGCTGGCGGTGCTCGCCCGGCGTGGGCGGCGGCGCGGCGGCAGCGTGGCGCCCGGCCTCGCCCGACCTCAGCGAGTGCCGCTCCGTGTGGCTGACGAGCCTCGAGGACCGCGTCAACGACGGCGACTCCATCACCAGCATCGCCGGCGACCTGGCGCAGGTGGGGGCTCAGTGCTGTCTACGTAGCCTAGATTGGATTGGCGGGACGGTTCTTTTCGGCCGTGAAGCGATCGTCATCGGAACTGAAAACTATGTACATGCACCCTGCAACGTCTGGATGAAAAACGAAATTGTATAGTTTATGAGAAGGAACGCCTTAAATCTTGTTGAGGATGGGATGTTGCGTTTCTCAGGACTGAAAATGTCTGTTATATTCTACTCCTTTACGTCCATGAGAGTCTGTAATGCGCACTCGGTAATCACATATTTGGCAAGGGCCCCATAACGTCTCTACTAGGACTTTCTACTATATCTATTAATTTTGCTGTTTGTAGATAATCGTATATATTACTACGACCTGTTTGCATTTGTATGGTTGCTTTGTCGGCTCCAAGCCGCTGGTGTTGTGCAACAAGGGAGCGCACGATAAAACGCTGAACATACGAATAATGGAATGAGTTCCTTAACCTGTGGACCACGGTGGTGAGATCAGCTGAGCCTAAGACGTATGATTAAATGTTTCTTGTGCACTTTTTAAGTGTCTTATTCAAATTACATTGCTACAACAAATAATGATACGTGTTTTTTAATAAAAAATACTATTTTCTATTTGAATTCTAAATTTTCTCTAAAAATCTTAAATTAAAATCTAAAAAGTTTCTATCTGAAATTCGAATATAAACAGATAGCTGCTTTGTATGCATTGAAGTATAAGATTTACTTCACTGCATACGCAAAAATCAGCTTATTCTACCATCTCCTTCATTGTAGCAACTCTTAACACTTCCAAACATGCCTCCCTCCCCGCGCACACGCTTACCCTTATGTGTTTTAAGTATAACCCGAAATTGAATCAGAACATCACTATCTCGAAGTGCCTCCTAAAATAAATAATTCTTCGCCTTGTCAGAACTTCGAATTATAAAAATTTCATTTTTCAAAAAAACTCATATAAAAAGCAAAGAGAACGTGATTTGATTTATTTAGTCTAAAAACAGTAAAAACTGTAAGTGTCGTGTGGGGGAAAAGTACCATCTACATTTTCTTGAACTCCTGAATCCCTTCCCAACATTTTAACTACAATTAGTTGAAAGATGAATAAAAGTTAAAAATAATAAAGTAAACAAATGTATAATAGTAATAATAAAAACAACAATTAAAATAATAAAAAAAATCGAGAGTAGCAACATTTAGAAAAAGTCATTTTCGTCTAAGACATTTAGAAAAAGTCATAGTTATAGAAAACTAATTTGCATTGGTAAATGAACTGCAGATTTGATTTTTTGCATTGCTAACAAAGTAGTAACCCCCCCCCCCCCCGGCTCCACTCCTACCACTACAAGCAAAAGAAGAGATGAACAGAACTTGCGCATAATGAAGATACATTTATTGAATCTATTAATATATTTTATAGTATTTTCATACACAGAAGACGAAGTGGAAGTCAACCAAGTTCCCTTACAGTTGTTTGCTTTACAAAAGCTGTTGAACAGCGTTTTACCACTGCTTGTGTAACTGCACTTCACGCCCCCTTCCGCCCCGTCCCTCGCCCAGCACAAGTGCGCTCAGCGGAACGCTCATTTGGACTTAAAGTAGGGTCGGAAAGGATTTGGCACATTTATGTCCTGGCGTTCTGATCGCGGTGGATGCGTCGGCGTTGGGCCTTGGACGCGAGTAGTGGGGGGAGGAGAGATGTGGCTGCGCTCGGAAGCCGAGGAAAGGACGGGTGGACAGTTTTCACAGGGCGTGAACTATCGAGCCCCGAATACGCGCTTCCTTAAAACAAATGATACGTTTAAAAATGATCCTCAGAAACGGTGAATCTTTAGAAACGATCTTGGGACGAAAACGGGTTGAGGGACATTCGGTTGCAGGGAAGGTTTGTCAGATTTCGACAGACTTCCTGATGGTTTTCTGTGGGAGAAAAGAGCCAGCCCTTAGGAAAACAATTCTGCTTTGGACACGTCTTTGTTCGTTTTGCGAGGTGTTCTGGGCAGCCTGGGGGAAACATGGTAAGACACTGTCTACCAATTGACAAGAAATACCAGGAAAACATTAAGAGAATCTAGCTTTTATATCGCATATTATTTCTATCTGGACATTATATTTGAACTGAAACCATACAAAAATAATTTCACAATGAAAAAAAATCATTATTTATTAATTAAATGGTATATTGATGGTACCATAATAAAACTGAAAGCTCATTGCTGAAAGGCAATGAATCAACAGATATCTCCACTACTTTTTCACACTTTATTCTATTACAGTTCAAAATCACAAGAGATTACCACTCTCAATACTGGTTTATCTACCAAAATTCCTGACTGCTGGCCACAAAAGTAGGGAATATTTTACATATGTCTTGTAGAAAAATCAATTGATTCCACAAGAAAATGGTTGTTGCTGAAGACGACAACTTAATTGAGGTGACCTTGTGAAGAGGTTTCGCTGCATATTCACATGGCTATAATTTGATTGGTAGTTAACAGTGAATATCTCAAATGCATCAAATATTGCAGCTTTTCTATATTTGTTGTTTATTTACATTTTTTTCTTTTGTATTTTCAAGATGTAGAACAATCACTAGGAATAAAAACAATTTGAGAGACATTGTTCTAAATATGTCTCTACTATTACCATCAGTACTCCATAAACTTCAATCATTTCATTGCCTGAATTAAAAAAAAAAAATAGTTAATTTAAAAACAAAAACATACACAATTCAGTAAGTGGTCTCGTTTCTATACAGTCTACATGATTAATGAATGTTCTGTTTTTCCTCTTGTGGAACTCAGTTAAATGATGATTTTGTTGTTAAACTTTATTATTGTTGCAATAACGACATCATTTATAAGTAATGGCCAGAAATACATTACTTCTAATGAACAGCGACTCCTAGCTTTATCCTTCAGTTACAATATATAGAAAGTAAGAATTATGTTGCAATCTCATGTGTGAGAAGTATAAAATGGATCAATTCACTATATATTCTGAGTTGGTTGGTAGTTAAAGATTTTTTAAATAAATCTTCAGGTAGGAAATGTCATCACTTTCATCATCTTTATCAGATGTCTGTTGATGACATGGGATTTTGATCCTAGTAACATGGATTTTTTATGTCCTTTAACTCCATCATGCAATATTCAAGTTCTTCATGCTCCAACATCAGATACGGGCCACAGCATTGATAATGAAAATGAATATTTTCACCATCAGTGCTGTGGTCCTTATCTAATGTTGGAGCATCAATTACATACTCATTCATTGCAAGTTCTTCTTCAATTCATTGTTTATCCTATTCACTTCCATTGTTGAATTTTTACCTCCTCAATGCAAACTCCTCCAATCAATGACGCTGGTGTGGTTGTTGGTTTTTCATTTTTTTTCCAAACAATACCAGGTGAAAGCTGGAGCAGTAACTTCAATATACCTTGCAGTTCGCTTGCAATATTGTTATTGTTTATGAATTTATTTATACATTATAAAGCTGATGTGATTGCCCCATTTATGCGTATTTGCATTTATAAAAGTAGTAGTATTACATGTAATAATTATTATATTTATTGTAAGTTTATACTATCAAACATGTTCTGCACACATTTTGCTGAAACAAAAAAAAATGTGTGGTTTTGAAAAGCCGTTTTGAAAATCTCACTCGGCAATTGATTGTGAAGGAAATGCTTTATAAAAATGTTGTAGGAAATGATGTCTGCAGGGCTTAAAAGATAGGAGAGAGATAGAGTTAAAAGTCAGAAAAAAATGCTGGTTTTTCGAGCGTCCCAGTTTTAGCACAACATCTTGGAGGGGGGAAATTTGGGGTTTTTACTAGTGCCTGGGTACATATAATATACCCAAAGAAAACGTTATGACGTTTTCCAGATAGCCCTTTTTTCAGTAATTGCCAATTACACCAAACATCACCATGAGCATTTGAGAGAATTCATTGACAAGTTGAGTTAATACATAGTCTTGAGTTAGCCCAAAAGGTATAAGTGAATTACGATTATTAAAAGGTGCATGATGGTGGAACAAGCAACAAAATTTGCAGGTTTATATATGGACAGTCAAACAGCATTACTCAGAATCTTAAGATTAGTACAACTTGTGACAGAAGCTGCTGCACAAACAAGCTTTGAATGTTAAAAATTTGGAAAGCAGATAGTTGTTGTCAAGGCCAATACAACCAGACTTGCTTAAATTCAAGAAACGTAACAAATCTACCGTGACATTTTTCCTGGATTTTAGTCAGACACCCAAGACATGGACACCAAACTAGGGGGCATATTAAAAGCTGAGTGTAAAATGTCATTAATATGATTCTCCTTAATCTTAAAAAAGTATGATGACAATGCAATCGATCTGTAATTAATAATTGTACAAGTATCACCTATCTGATGGACTAGACAAAATTTTGCAGTATTCCATACAATTGGGAAAGCACCTTTTATAGTTTTTTTAAAAAATACTACAAAGAGATGCGACCAAATATGCAGTACTTTTCAACTTAGCTCTTGTTAAGTTAAAACATTTGTTATTACAAATTCTGTGTCTGAAAATTGTGTATTATCAATTAATTCTGGAGCATAATCATCAAGTTGAATTCCTGAACTAGTGTGATCCCTGTATAGGTTAGATAACAAAAATTAAAGAAATTATGTCTTAAATATTTGGATCAGTCACATCTTAAAACAAAAAGCTTGTGGGTATGCGACTAGTTCGGTTTTATCCATTGTGTGTACTAGTTCGGTTTTATCCATGATCCAGAATGGAGATGGATCAGATAAGAAACCAGTTTCATGGTTGTCATTAAAAGATTTTTAACTAATATGAAATAAATATATAATATCACTGTCGATTTTTTAATTATAAATTTAGTATTAATGTTATAAGTAGAATTATCACAATGAAAATTCTTTTATTGTCTTCTTACCTTGTGTTTTAACTTGATCTTAGTACTTACTTCTTTTGTAAACCAGATAGACCTATTTATCAGGTAGAGATTTATTATCAGGCAGAAATATCTTAACTAATATTATAGAATTTAAAATGAACTACAAACACAGTCAATATTACAGTCTTCTTTAGACAACAATTCTGACCATTTAACTGACAGCAAATCATTTATCAATAGTTCAGTCACAGAGAGTTTGCTGATGTTTTAAACAAATCACTGTGGACTGTATCATTTACACAGCATTTATCATATCATTGCCTCCAACCCCCTTCCCTCTTTTTAGTATTATGTAATTTATGGACGATCCCCTAGTAAATATCTTAGAAATTGGATCTTGGGTTCACCAAATCTAACATAGATGTATCATTCTGTACAGTGATATTTTATTATATGCCATGGAGCTCCCTAGAATATTTTCTGTGGACCTGTCAAATGCCGAATAATATTTAAACAGATTTAGAAATAACACCTGAACTTTACACTTCCACATTTCTTTGGAGAATGCTCAAAAATGTCTGACACTGCATTGTGAAAGAGGCATTGATGAAATGTATAGTGTAGTGTCAAATGATGAAAGTCTGCTGCTGCATCGGTGACTGCAGTCCAAATGCTTAATTATAGAAAGCTGCATTCTGACTTGTCCATATATAAAGCCATTCAAGCCACAGCAAGCAGTTAGATGATATCTCTGAAGGAGGATAGCTAGATGAAGTATGAGTTAAGGAACAAATTTATTATGTTGTTGGTGTAGTAGTAATTTATCTTTGGTGACCGTGCAATGATTGAAGATGGTTTCTAGCAAAAAGTTGAAGGTTACTGCGTGCAGGAGCAATGGAGGAAATGTTATTTTTCTTGCTTTCAATCTTCCATTTAAGCATAATAAACTATTCCACAATTCCCACCTCAAAAATTTGAAAGAGTAAACTTACAGTGTGTATTACATGTTATAAATTTCTTTTTTTTTATTTTGGTGATGTGAGAAATCGTATATGGTTTCTGTTACACTCAACGAGATATTATGTATGTATTCCACTTTCAGGCTTTGTCAGATAGTGAACTCTTGATGTACACATTATATGAGTTATTTTCTTTTAACATTAATTTTAAGATTAGTATGTTGGATATTTTGTACAGATTCACTAGCAGGTTATCCTTAATGCAAGTCTAATTATTTGATAGTTTTAACATTATAAAGTCATGTATTTAATAGTTTCAAATATCTGATTAAGCTAGCCATAAAATGTAGTGACCGGTATTGCTATTGTTGTTGTTGTTATTATTATTATTGCTTTTATTGTTATTATTATCCTTTTATTTTGAAATAATATAAAGTTATAATGTAGGAATATTCTTAATTTAATGTTGGTAAATTGTAGTGTTATACCACCAGGTTGCATAAACAGTCATGCAGAAATAAAAAAAATCTACAACCTAAAATAAATAATTCTAATTACTCGAAATGTAATGACATTTATTTACATAAAAAATTCGTAGTTATTATTTTGGAGTCAAATTTATAAATATTATGGAATTCAAAACATATTAAAATTTAAATATTGTTAAAAAGAAATAAAAAGGAAAGTGTTCTATACAGAAAATGTTATAGAATTAACAGTAAAAAATATCTTGTTAATAAAAACTTCCTGGAAATAATTAATAATTTCCAGTAAATTTATCATTCAATTTGAACTTCTGATGACATCTTCTGTAAATCGATTATTTCTGTTGAATATTTCAAGTTTCAGTTTGAAGGTACAAGTTTCACTGAGAAAATGTCATGTGACTTCTTTGCAACTTCGAAATTTTTCTGCTGAGTGTGACTGTACACTTCTAAATCTCTGTTAACATATACTGTTCTATGTCCCTTCCTATACCTATAGTAATGTTAATTTGTGTGATACTTAGGGTCGTCATGTGTGTTTCCATAGTTACGAAATTCTGATACAGAATTTGTATTAGTTTTTTATTAACATTTGTATAACATTGCCACAAAATAGTATAGGACAGATTTTTAGCAACCTTTCAAAACAGGTTTTCTAAAACATTTTACACAAGAAAAGGCTGTAGACAATAAAATAGCTATAGTACAAGTATTCATATTTTATAATAGAAGAAAAATAAGTACAGATTATCATTTCTAACGTTTAGAAAAGAATATATTCTTGACCATATACATTTTATGAAGAATCATGAAAAATCATGTTGCGTGGTGTAATCCAGTGTTTTATCAATGATTTTTAGTAGAGTTGTCTTAACAAGATAGAAAAGTGCCATTTTCTCATTAATCCAAAGGTTTCTGAAATAAATGTAACCTGTTTGTTTTTTGTTTCAGGTTACTAGAAGTAAAACACTATATGGAGGTGATATGATGACAACAACAAAAATTATAATGAAAATGGCAAAAAAGATGTCTGCGGATATTCAGACATTTCCAGATCCACGGCAAAGAGAAGCATATGTTACAGAACTATTGAATGGTGTTGTGCGAACTGGAAGCAATTTACTTGACAGTGCTCAACACCCGTCTTGGAGAGATTTGAGTTACAAAGAACAAATGAGGGTGGCTACGTCCTTGTTGACAGGACTAGAAGAAAGTGCATTCCTAGTGGCTAATACTGTAGTGCAAGAAAAGACTGTTATTCAAAACGTGAAAAATATATGTGAGTGTGCTTTATGTTTGTGTTGTTTAATTTTGTTACTTTTTTTGAAGAAAATATCAAATTCAGTTTACCTGTTCTTCTACTTCCTAAACAAATCTTACCTTATTTTCTAGAAATCGAGAATTCTTTCTCTGTTCTCTTTCTATTTTTTATTTTCTTGCATTACAAATAAGTATAATAGTTACTATTTAAATAATTTGGTAAAAGTAGTCGTTTATTCACAATATCATAGGAAGCTTCTATTCCTTGCGAGTTAAAATTTTGTTTCAGTTTTCCATTTTGAAGTAATGTTTAGCATATTGTAAATAATTGTTTATGTATCTTCGCTGCAGAGACAACTATATTTTAAAATTTTTAATTGGTCTATGCATTTACTGAATTATTCTGTTACACTAAACCACAGTGTGAGCTAAATGCTTATGCTAAACGTCTTCCCTTGACTATTAAAATTCTTGAATTTTCATTAATATTCTGTTATTATAGTTGATGGAATTTCTGAAATGATTCAATTATTTCTTTTTGATTTTCAGTGTTGAGTGTTCGAGTGGTAAAAACCAGGAACGTTGGCACAGAGCAGTTCCCATTGCCAGCAACTCTGGAAGTGTGGCCAGTGAGTCAGGACTGGCTCCAGCTTCCACGTGGAGCTTTGCTGGAGAACAGTGAAGGGGGCTTGGTGCGTCTTGTGTTTGTGGCATTTGACCGTCTGGAGGAGATTTTGCAGCCACAGCCACCACGAGAACATAGTAATGTTACACGGGTACTCAACACGAAAGTGATATCAGCTTCCCTTGGCAAGGGACGACACATCCAGTTATCCGAACCAGTCCGTCTATTTCTGCGTCATTTGATTACAGAAAATGTTACTAATCCTTCCTGTGTTTTTTGGGATTATTCTGAAAGGTAAATTATTATGTCAATGAAAATTTGATATTAACATTAAAAACTATTGATGGATAGGCAAAACATCTTAATAACCAATTTCATGAAATGAGATATTTTTTCTGTATTGCAAACATCTATACGCAACCTAGTAAAACTGTAATCCTCGATATTATGGTTGGAGATTGGTAGGAGAATTAATTTTATCTGTGAACTTAGTTTTGTAACTATTAAAGCATTTCTTGATTTCCAGTATTTCCAAGTACAGTGTGGCCACTTTGTGGAAAACTGGAAAAAATCAGGGAAACATCAAGGAATTTATAGAAGAATCGTTAGAAGTCAGAGACAATTTTGAGAGGGGGGGGGGGTTTATATAGTTCCTTAAAAATTTATACTTGCTCAATTTTCATTTGGTGAGAAAATATTGTCAATTTGTACTTTGTCACAGCAAAATTAGAGAGATGACCAATTTGTAGACAGTAGTTTTAATATTATCTTCAAGTAGTGTGAAAGTAAATCTTATCAGTAGGAGATGAGTTTTGATGACATAAAACATTGCCAAATATGATCAATAAAATGCTCTTAAAATGTTTTAATAATGCCCTAAAGAAAAGAAAAATGATGCAAAAATGTGATCAAACTGTTCAGATTAACAAATCAAGCTGTTGAATACGTTACTGATGTAATTGAGGCTGACATTAAAATCAATGAAATCAATAAAAATGTTTTAAAATGATGGGGAAAGGTACATAGTGACTTTTTAGAAATCGACAAAAATAAAATAAATGTATAAAACCTGGTAATTTCCTTTTTTATAACATATTATTAATATCTAATACTAACAGGTATTGTTCTAAAATAAAAAGGAAAGGGGAAAAAAAAAAGACATTTCATTCAAATCTGCCCCCCACTTATCTGGTAAAAATTGCTTGGGGAAAATAGGGAAAAATCAGGGAAATGTTCCAGGAAATGAGTGGCTGCCCTAAAGTTGTTATCATATAAGAAGTTTCCAATTGGATAAATAATATCAATAATAATAATGATGATGATAAGGATATCAATATTATTATTTTCTTCCTTTATTCTAAGTGAATATATACAATCACCCAATATACAACAAATATAAACTTAATATAAACTAGAAGATAAATAGTGAACGAATATAAACTATTAGAAACCCTCCTCAATTTGACAATAACTGACTGAAAAAAAATTACAAGTGTGCAAAAGTGACACTTGTTGATACACATGTTTGCATTACGAACTATAACATCTCGTACACACTTTCTTATGCCAGATACCAAAAAGACTGCTTTCAGTAGATCGATTACACTACACTTACTATTAAAATTATACCCACACCACAAAAAAAAAAACAACTAATAAATTATCAGTATTTAGAATTCATATTATAAAACTAGTAAATAACAGTAAGAGATAACACTTCTAGGGCTCACTATCTTTCATTAAAAAAAGGGAGGTGGATAGAAAGTTCAAATGACTTTCTAATTTATGAAAAACCTTAGAAATTAAATTATGTACATTATTTATAACTAATTTTTAAAAAAATACTGTATTAATGTTTAATATAAAAGATTACAATACTTTCCTAGATAATGCAATGCATCTTGTTTCAACCATAATTACACAGTGTTATATTCTTCACAAGATTTTTAATATATGATTGTCTTACTGAACTTGCATCTATATAAAGTAACTGGGGACAACCTGTTGAAAGTGCTTAAATCAAACTTCCATATTCATAATTCTTTATAATGGTTTGTAAAACAAATTCATTTATGTAATTAGTTTTTCTCCATTTGAAAATTTCTTTATTATCAGTAATAGGTTCTCAAACAGGTTCACGGTCCACTAGAGAAAACTGCAAAGCAATTTTAGGGAGACCTTGAAGGGCCACCAGGGGCAATTTCGGGCTATTTGCAATTGTTGCTATTGGTAGCCATGAACCATGAAGGAATTGAATGTAGTTCCTCTAATATTGATTATAGTCACTTCGACTCACTGCATTCTTGGAGTCCAACAGCATGTGTATTAAAATTAGGTCCACCTGACGCTATTATCACCAGATTTTAAGGTTTTTATTGCTTATGGGGGTGCGCAAAAAGTATTTTCTGACATATTCATAAATCATATAATTGTGAAAAAACTGCAGTTTGTATCTTTCTCCGGTTACTGAAATTTTACAATGCAATCTCTGTGATGCAGGAAATTCTTTTTGATGTTTCAATATCATTAATCTCCCATTTCATACTCGAATTGGCATTGGGGGTACTACTTTTTTACTTAGTATTAAATCTTTTTTGTTTTAAAGAAAGCAAATATGTGCATTAAAATTGTTCCTCAAGAAAGAGGTAATGGATAGTTATTCCCTGGGGATCTTATATTGTTGTTTTTTATTTTTTTTACTTAAGATAATTATTGTGGTTTCAATTTTTGGAATGGTTGTAAAAGTAGTGCACTTTTTCTATGTTTATCTACTAGAAGAAATATTAGTTGTTTATTTTAAGTGCAGTACCTGTATCGACAGTTGTCAACATTGTAAGTTTATTTCTGTCACTAAACACTTTTTAGTAATCAATTTCACATTCCTTCGAAGCACCAAGGAAGTAAAACTACACACATGATAGGAAAAATATTTTTAGTAATAAATTCTTTAGTGGAAACTATTCTAAAGAATATTTCAGAACAAAATTTCAGAAGAAAAAAGAAAGAGAAATTTATTGGCTTTCTGGAAAATTTGCATTTTGATGGATTTGATGTTTTGCCTATGAGCCATCAGTGTCTAAATGCTCTTCCTTTTGCATTTATGGTACTAAGGTTTTCTGAGAAGGAAATAGAGTATTTTGTGTTGTACATTAAGATTGCTTCTCATAATTTTATAAAAGTGATTTTTGCTTTTTTCTTGTTTGCAGTGCTTGGTCTGATGAAGGCTGCAGAGTTGAACAGACAAATCACACTCATACTTTGTGCCAGTGCAATCATCTTACCAATTTTGCTGTTTTAATGGATGTTCATGCCACATACTTGACACCGTCCCATCAGATGGCTCTGCAAATTATTACTTACATTGGTTGCATCATATCCGTGGTCTGCCTTGTTTTGACAATTGTGACCTTCCAGTTGTTTCAAGGACTTAAGGTGAGTAATGCCTGAGAGTTGGTACAAATATAAAAAAATTTCTCCACCTAGGAGAGAAAAGTAAGAAAGGACAGGTAAAATGCACAGTGGGACCTTCATCTATCATTTCCACATTGTTTACACACTTGTTCCATTTACTGGTTTTGGCCTGGATGAAGTTATTTATATAACGTACCTGTTTCTATACCCATTATTTTTTTGAAGTATTGTAAAACTGTATGTTGTTTAAGTCACAGGCCTTTTGCATAATTTCTATTGCAGAAGACAGCAATAGATGGATGAATGGTAATGCGTAGTTGTCTGTGGATGTTCCTCATGTTGCCAAAATGATGTAACACTACATTACTTGAGGTATCTCATAGCAAACAAAATCAATGTTAGAATGTACCTGCACCCTCACTCTTGCGGGAGTCGTAGGATCGGAAGTCAAGTTTGCACACATAATATTCTTGAGAATTACAGCAATTCCTTTGCCTTGTGAGTACATATGTTGCGATGAAAAATCTCCATGAATATCTTCTGGTTAAATCAGTCTGTAAAGTTTGTTTTTTTCCTTTCTGGTTTGTATCATGCTGTGAACTGTCATGAGTGGTCACCAAACAGTTTTGGCAATAATAATAATAATAATAATAATAATAATAATAATAATAATAATAATAATAATGATTATTATAATTATCTAATTTTTATTATAATTAATAATAATACTTATTATTGTTATTATTATTATTATTATTATTATTATTATAATTATTATTATTAATGTCATCAAAGTGTTCCTTTGTTACTAAAAAAATATTAAATTTGCAAGGCAACTAAAACTTTTCAGATCTATGTATCCTAATGAATAGGGTACAAGGTTGGAAATGTCATAACAAACCCTTAACCTCACTCCCTCTTGATATGTAGTGTAAATAAATAGTGTCAAATTTCAAAGCAAAGAAGCATTCAAAGGAAGCTAAATTACATTCATCACAAAAAAAAAAAAAGATAATTTTTTCCTGTACAATAATACAGCAATATTTTACACAAACCTTATTGCTATTGCAATATTACTGTCAAAGTGCAATCGTGATGAAGGCCGGGCACCTCTCAGAACGTGACATTAGGAACAATCATAACAAATTCTACATTAACATTCATGTATTTATTTCTGTGTCTCTTACAACAACGATTGTGTTTAAAATTGAAATTAAATATTTATTATTTGCATCATCTTGAAACATAAATTTGAAAACGCATTAGACAAAGCCAAGATGTGAGAGAATAGATGTGTCAATTTGCTGCTTCTCTCTTGGATTTTGTGAAACCAATTTGAGGCTAGTTCCTTGCTTCTCAATGCAGTGAGCTGGACGTGACTTCTGTATTAATGATGGCATCATGTGCACAAGTATTCAGTTTTTTGCACTTAAATCCTACAACGTTTGTAATAATTTAGTATTAAAAAATATTATTTTCAGTAGAAGTTACTGTAAATCTATATTTACTAAAAATTGTATCCTTTTGATTGATTAGTTATTCTTGGTGTGGCGACAGATAAGGTCAGTAGTCCCATAAGTGTAGTGCAGTTTTTTTCCCTCTGGAGGGGCAGTGATTTTCCTCTGCTGGATGGTGAGATCTGGCACCGACCTATCCGTAGGGCTAACAGGGTTTTTCCCCAACCATGTATCTCCCACTGCTCCAGCCAGGACAATCTCTAAGCTCCCAACCGATCTCCTGGCATTTGTGGTAGGGTAGTGCATGTAAGCATAAGTGTGTGTAAGTAAGGGGTTAGGATAAGACAAGGAAGAGGAAGGAAAGATTGCACAGTCTGAAGGCCTCTGCTTAGGGTACTGCACCGGCATTCAACTGGTATTGTTTGGAGAAACCACAGAAAATTACCAATCAGAGCAGCCGACTGCTAGAATCTCCTCGAGACAGCAAGTGAATTCAGCCAAGTTAACTAGCTAGTGTTGAAAATCCTGCCACTGCTGGGACTCATAAGTGGGGGGCTACCAGACAGAGTCACGAACAGTGACATCAGTAGATGCCCTGAGCCACCTCTCCCTATAATCCATCATCATGATGAATCGCAGGATAGTATGTATGGTGCCTGTTTCTGTTAAGACAGTAGATCTGGTGATTATTCCTCTAGATGTTCCTGATCAATCCATCTTTTGTTGGGTCTTCCTATATTTCTTCGCCCTATAATCCTTTTAATATATTTTTTACTTGTGCACTGACTCTTCGGACAATTTTTAATTTTTTTTCTCTAATTGATATTTGCATAGGCAGTGAATACTTTGGTTGTTTAGATTTCACAATATCGATTGTATTAAATTTGACATAATGCTTACTCAATAACTCTTTGTGAGTTTGTATCTCATTTTCCGTATCAATAATCTGTCCACTTCTTAAGTGTGTTTTGCAAATGTAAAGGTTTTGGTTTAATATCCTTTCTTACTGTGGCACAATTTCTGTCTATTTCTTTTGATTATCTCCACGTTTTGGAATGGAAAACAAAGTTACTTAATAATGTTTCTGTGAATATCTGTGGTTATCACACTTCTAACCTAGCACTTTTGATCCATTTGTCGATACGTCTATATTTATTTTGTCACTAAATTAACTGTTATAGCATTATAGTCTGTGTGTTTACAACACAGCGATTTGACATCAGTTGCTCACATTGCCTCCCACCTTGCCCAAAAAGACAAAAGTTTTTCGCAGTGCTAACTTCAAAAAGTTTCAGGTTTACAAAAATTAGTTGGCACACCTATTCTCTGTACAAGCATAAGGGCCCTTGAGCTCTGTATCTTTGTTATGTGCAAGATTTCCATCCTTCTTATCAAGCCAAAATTCCACCCGGAGGGGAAGAATTATGAACAATGTATATTTATGTTGAAAGAACTGTATGTCAATTGTGGAATCCAGCAGGATACATCAAATATAGGATTATTTGTGTCTAGACGAGTTGCATTCAGTGTGAGCAGATAAACCTGTTATTTATTTATTTATTTATTTATTTATTTATTTATTTTTTGTGTGTTTTTACAGATCACAAAATCAATTAATGATAATAGATAATTAAAATAATCTATTGGTTATTTTAGATTTGTTTAATTCAATGCAAATTAAGAAGAAATCCAATTTTAAGTATTTTAATAAATTATTCGATTTATAATAATTTATGTAATTATTTTTAGCCTAATTGATTTTGTGCATTTATTCATTGTTGCAATTTTTTTAACATTTTCCTTTTGAAATGATAGGTTAAGGTTCCACTGTATTTTTTGTGAAAGCAGTTTATTGTTATTAATCTTTGTTGAACAGAGTCAAATTTTCTTTACTTACCCTGGTAATAAATGTAAAATAATTGTCTTCTTGTGTACCAAGGAGTAAAGTGTCTAGTGTCCTAATCGCTGAATCCAGATAGTTTTCATTTTTTTATCAAAAGAGTTTATTGCATTTTTCATTCACATAACATTACTTAATAATTGTATCTCATGGTAGACATTTCCCTCATTTGTTTATATGATGGAGTTAGTTAATGAAAATAATAGCACACAATATATAATTTGACATTGGCACTTATATTTTTAAGGTACAGGTAAAGTTTAGGAATGAATTTCTAATTTGAGTTTTTATTTTACAGTCTGATCGAACAACCATTCACAAGAATCTATGTGTTTGCTTACTGGTAGCTGAAATTCTATTTCTGGCAGGCATTGGTCAGACTGAGAATCAAATGGTGTGTGGTGTAGTTGCTGTCCTGTTGCATTTCTTCTTTTTATGTGCATTTGCATGGATGTTCCTTGAAGGTACGGTATTAATTCCTATGGCATTGAAAATTGTTTAAATTCACATTTTAGTTTGCAAGTTTGGAAACCATTGATAGGCATTGTTAGGCCAGTGGTTCCAAGAAGGGGTATACAATGCGGAACTGAGAATTGAGACCGTTCTACCCCTTCTAGAAAACAATAAACTGAATATAATTTTCAATTGTTTCTATTTTAATTGATATTATGAAAATTTATCATTCCAAATTTTTACAACTATTTATATTAATTTGAAATTAAAAATCATAGTCAATTAAGGTATAAGAAGTTAAAATATGATTTTTATTTACAAGTTTTTTTTTCTTTTCTTGGGGCAAAATAATAATTGAAATGGTCTTTTTTTTATAAGTGAATAAAATGTATTTAGTTTTGAGTGCCGAACAGTATTTTATCCATTATCACTATGTAAACAAAAGCCAAAGAAAAAAAGGATAAATGATAAAAGTAACTAACCTATGTTCATGCTCAAATGGAAGAAGTCTTTCATTGATTTAATGAGATTGTTGGTAAAGAGTTGTAAATGACTTGATCAGTTTCTGTATTAAAAAATTGTATTAGCTTTGAAACATAATTCTCAGCCGCAGCGAGTTCAAAGTCTTTCCAAGAGAATGAAATTTTAATTGGAGGCAACTAGATAAATTATGGTTTACAAGGCAGTAATGGATAAAATCTACCTATGTTTAAGGTGTTTTAGAATATCCTACTTCCAGTAGGCATTGATACAAATTCATGTTGTATGATTTATATGTCCAGGTTTTCAGCTGTATGTAATGCTCATTGAGGTGTTTGAAGCTGAGAAGTCACGCATTCGTTGGTACTACATGTTTGCATATGGCGCTCCTCTCATTATTGTGGCTGTGTCTTGCATTGTGGACCTTCCCAGCTACGGCACTGAGCGCTACTGCTGGTTGCGAGCTGACAACTTCTTCATATTCAGCTTCGTCGGACCAGTTATTGCTGTGATACTTGTGAGTATATTGGTTTGTAGGAATTTGTGCTCTTCTTGTGTTAATAGTTCCTTATTTGTAGAAATTGTTTTCAAATAAAGTAATTTTTGTTTGAAGTTGAAGTATTCATGTCACGTAACACAGAAAAGATTTCAATTCAATTCTCTAATAGAACAAATTTAAAAATACATTTTCATTTTATGAATTCATGTACCCAGTTTCTTCACATGTGGACAAATTTATTGAAGAAATTTGCTATTCTTTTTAGTAAACCTTGCCATCCGGAGCAATAACTTCCTAGAAAAGGTATAATTTTTTTTGCAGATGAAGAAATTGTAAGGAACGATTGCAAATTCCAGTTTCTCATATAGAGTACACTTTCTTGATTCTATGTATAGTTGGTGCAATCATATGAGCAAATATTGTCATCTTTCATGCTGGACAAAATTTTGGGACATTCTTATAACAAGTAGAAATAATTTGCATTCATTTTAAAAATGATAGCTAATTAATGTTGGAGTTGTGATATTTCCTACAAAGTTTGTCGTCCCCCCAACTCGAGAAAGATTGTATTAATAATGTTACGTTTCTAGAATTCAAGAAAAATGTACTTCAAAACTTTTTAATGAAGAAACATTATTTACAAAGGTTATCATTTGAAAAAGAAAGTTGGTCTATTGCAAGTTTAATTGAATGTGTGATGCAAGTGAACATCATGATTCTTTTATATTCAGTAAATGCAGCCTCTCTATTTACCTGTAGGGCCACACTTCCAATTACTCTATCAGAGAATTCATTTTAGTATTCTCACACGATTTGAATTAGTTCATACCATATTATTTAGAGTGATGATTAAAGACTGAAATGTAATTACATGTTCTTTGTCTTTCTATGTACAGTTTTAAAATTGTGATCTTGGCAAATCATTGCAATCCGAACACATCTAAAATGTTCATTATATTTATACATATTTTGGTTTTTAATAATATATTTTACATACCCTTTTAAAAAATTACCAAATTTCTTGAAATCATTTTCCAAAAAATATTTGATTAATTTTCAAAAACAGTTTTTATTTTAAAAAATTAGCATATTTTTACTTAAACATTCAGAATTGTGAAGACAGAGCTGTTTGGGTTAACCTCTGTCTGCAATATCATAGTTGCGCCAACAAGTCCTCAACAGTGCTGAGAATATTACCATTAGATGTGGAAAGTTTCAGTGACATGGTTATTGAAGTTAAATAGCCCCCCCCCTCCCCTCCAATTTCAAATTGTGAACATTTAATTTTTGTTTGTAAATATTTTATAAGTGTACTTGTGCAGTATTAGCGCACACCATTACCATTTTCTTCATGTATTTAGTACTTGACAAAAGGGGCATATTTTCACATTTCATACTGCATATTTTTATGGACTTCAGTGATGATGTCAGAACCAACTTCGTAATTCTTGTGAAAATTGTCCCCAACCTTGAACTGCACTCACTGAATTGACTCATCTCAAGCATTATCAGCTGGTAGAATAATTGTATGGCAGTCTGCACAAAGTCTTACGTGTTGATAAAAATGTTGGTGTTGTAGGAGATTTAGAAGTTTTTTCCACTCCAACGAGGCTTGTATTTGCAGGAAGCTTGCTACATGACAGTTAAGATTTGTAAATACATTAGAGTTTATAGAGTGCAGTTTATAGAGTGAGGGATCATAGAATGGGCGAGATAACAGCCAGTTAGCTGTGAAAGGCTCTTAATGTCTGACATGAGTGGATCGAGGGAATATGGAAATTCTCATAAATGTGTAATTGGGATGTAGATAATATTTTTCATGCTAGTGCTTTGACTCCTGTGATGATTCTTTGTAAGCAAGAGAGGATAATCAATAGGTATTATTGACTGTTTTTGTCTTTTATGAAGTGCCATTTTAGTTGCTCATTGATAGCAATTTAACTAGGAGATAATTTTGTGAATACTGATGTGGTTTTGTCAGCATTATTCATAAATAAAATTATGGAAATAATTTTTGTCAACGTAAATTTATTGAGATTGCTGGCTTGCAACAGCTTGTCATCAGTCTTAAGAATGTTCAAAATAAATAAATAAAAATGTTAAAAAATAAGATAAGTACTACTAAAACTATGATAATTACTAGTTACTAAGCTAAGATAATTACTCAAGTAGATAATCATTAATTTCATTATTAGTATTATCTTCTTTTTTATTATATTTTTAATTTCTCACCTACTATGGAGTCAGAATCTGCATTTGGTGGGTCCTTGATACCAAAAATTGGATTACAGCAAATTGTCTGTTCATCTATCTGTTTGTCTCTCTGTAAACAACACTAGCACTAGCAACATAAGCAGGAGTTTCACCAAAATTGATATTTCCTGATCAACCTGACTGATGTCATTCCACTTGAATTTGAAACTTCTTTTTTGGGGGGAAGGGGGGTGCTTTCCATGAAACCTGAACATTTTCAAAGTTTTCTCAAAAATGACTCTAAATTAAAAAAATAAAAATAAAGAAAATAATTAAAATAAATAAAAATAAAAAAAAAGTTTGTCGGGTAGCACAAAGATGTTTAAGAAAATGACATGTCTAATTTTTGTTGCAATCTCTAAATTTTCAAAAATTGCAAAATTTCAAAATTTTCAGTCTTCCTACAATTAAATTAATGAAGAATGAATTTTTTTCATAATGAAATGTGTTAATCCAAATCCTATTTTCAAATAATGTCATGTGTAACTCTGAAAATATGAATAAGTTTATGCTTGATCTTGCTTGGAAAGTGGGCACTTTTTTAATTTTTTCATTTTAACAAATTCATTGAAAGAGCCAATAATTCTACAATTTAAAATGTTTTTAAACAATTATTTTATAAAAAATGACTCCAAATTTTTTTCTTTAAATTTTTGTCTCACATGTAGCAAAGAACTGTAAAGGAAGTGGTGCTGGTCCCATTTCTAGCAAAATCCATACTTTTGAAAATTGCAAACAAAAAATTAACATCACAAAATTACAATATGGTACAAAAAATTAACACAGCAAAAGTAGAATATGGGTGATAGTGTTTTTTGTTATCTGAAATCTGTTCTTTAAAAAAGGATACGTACAATTTTTTAAAAATATGAGTAATTTAGCATAAATTTGCATATCTTTAAAATTGCAAATTCAAACTTTCCAAGCTCCATTTGCTAGTCTTTAATAAGATATCAAATTTGCAATATGGCAATGGGAACACCACATCACGACATGACAGTTTGCTATTCAGAACATTCCTTCTCGTTGTTGTGAGATGCTATAGCTGTATGAAACAGTTTTAATTGTTGAATATGTGTTGCTTATTAGCTTTTAAAGAATAAGTATTCGCACCTAATGTTCTGTGATTTGTAATGCGTCTTCCGAGTGTTGTTGCAATATGTTGTGTTAATATAGACAGAAATTGCGGTACTATGATATTATGTAACTATTACTTAGTGTAAGAAAGTATGTTCTGTTGTGGCATCAGTACTTCAATATTTCTTATTTATTTTGTACATCTTTAGACTGACAATAACAGCAAAGCCATTGCAAGCCAACTCTCTTAATAAATATAAATGGACAAAGATGACTTCCATTACTTTACCCTAGGAGATAATTTTTTGATTGTATTTAGTTTTCATGTAATGATAATATCAGATTCTCTTGCATTTATTGTATTATGAAACACAAGGTAATGGATGATGCTTTAAATAACAGATAAATATGAATAGACCATTCAGAAGTCACAAAGACTTACTCAAAGATGAATCACTTTTACCATTCATTTTGATGGACTATTTATAAAAAATGCTAACTGGCTATTACCCTGCTCATTGTCAACTCCCAAGTGAATGACTTCTCAAATGGTATGATCCCTCATTTACACTTGACAAAATTGCTGTCAGTGAAGAGGAGAAAATAGTAGAATTAAGGGCCTTAATTAATGTAATTAATATCTTTATTTTTAGTTTTTATATTGAAGGAACTATGTCTATAGAAAAACCTAATAATCATATTGAGTATGCCTTCCCAAAACTTAATTGGAAATACTGGAAACCTTACAATTATTAAAATTTGAAAAGACATGATGTTTCTTATATTTTTCAATGATTACAATTGGGTTTGTCATTAATATGTTCTTTTAATTAGATATTGATTTGAATGTGCTTGTGTTTCATAGGCCAATCTAGTCTTCTTGAGTATGGCAATATACATGATGTGTCGGCACGCCAATGCATCTGCTTCTATGAAGAGTAAGGAGCACTCTCGGCTGGCCAGTGCCAGGTAAGCTGTGAAACCTTCCTTAAATTTCGTATTTATGGTTTTAATAGCATGCTCCAGGTTATTATTTGATGACCATTTTGCTTATTTTCACAGATATTTGGACTAGTAGATAAATAATGTATATATCATTATAGGTCATCTTCATACAATATTAATGATTGGGTGGGGGAAACATGCATTCTGCAAAAATGGTTTCAGAGATATAATGTTGTTTTTGAAGGAATGAGATATTGAAGCAATATACTTCAGTATGTGGAAGCGAAGTCCACTTAAAAAAAAAATTGAAATCCTGATATTCTTCAAATAATGTTGTAGTTTTTGTTGTTAAATTACTTCAGTTCCGGTTTTTTATGACAAAATATTTTGGCTATACTTTCAGTTTAAAAAAATTGACTTTCTATTAATCAATTTTGTAATTAGTGATAGTGCTTTACAACATCAATAAATAGAACATATAGTTTGATTCTTTTCCTGTCCAAGGCAAAATCTTTGATCTTATAATACACAAATTCGTATCTAATCAAATGTCTCTAATAAAATAAAAATAGCATGCTATTATAACTCCACTTTATTCAATTCCTTTATTTTTTGCTATTATTGTTATATACCATATTTTTCCGAATATGACAGGGTTTTTCCAGAATATCTCAGTCGAAAAATGCAGAGTCGTCTTACATTTGCAGATTAAGCGTAGTCAGTTAGGGTTCAAGTTTTTACATTGTTATTCCATGTCTCAAAACTCATAAATGTTGACGTAACGATAGACTGCAAAAACTGTAACAATATTACGCGTATCTACAATACATAATTGTATTCGCTTTCATATTCTTGGCATCCACCATGAATTTGAGGGTAATTCAGTTCAATACCAGCCATTAAAGAGTGAATATTGAAATGAATGGCATTGTATTAAATGAAACGTAACATAAAAATGATTTTGTTTCATGCTAGGATTGTGTTACATGATGCCAGTTCAACGAGGCTGTGCATCTCAGTTCAGTGCCTAGCAAATGCAAATCTCATTTTAAACAGTTGAAGAAACAGTCCGGCAACAAATGTATAACAGAAAGGAAATTTGGTGACACACAAAAAACACACAAGGGAATGTTCTTAGGTGGCATCTGATGAAAGACTATGTACTACACCAATTTTGACCATAAAACTTTCAGAGGGACCTAAAAAGTCGGATGATGTCGCAGCATGCGAGGAGGACCAAAAAGAAAGAAACATTGAGCACCTGACATACTCAGCAGTTTGTTAGAAATGCAGAACCATAGAAATATTTCCTGAGACATTTTGGAGTGATGGAAACAATCAAACAAACGAAAATTAAAAGAAATAAAAGAAACCTGAGTGGTGCTACTACAGAACACATATTCTTGCATTATTTCTAACTTTTGCAATTTTTGAAAATTCAAAGAATTCAATGAAAAATGAGACCCTGATCATTCTTTTAAACATTCCTTACTTTATCCATGAAAAAATTATAGAAAAAGTTTGTAGCAGTTTTTGAGAAAATGTTCTTATAAATCTTAATAACTTCAAGCAGAAATTATGTAAAAACAACTCGTATTTTCAAAAATATTGTACATGACATTTTTAAAGACCCGATTTAAAAAAAAAAAAAAAATGTGTATGTCACAAAACTTTGTCTTCATTATTATAGTTTTGGAATATTAACATTTTTCAATTTTCAAAAATACAGAGTTTTCTGAAAATGAGACTAGCACTCCTTTGTTTACCATCCTTTGATACACACGAGGAGAAAATGTAAAGAAAAAATTCAGTGTTTTTTTAAAAAAATATTTGTTTATAATTTTTTTTAAATTTCCTACATCTGTCAAAATTACGTAGAAACTACTCATATTTCCAACCTTCTGACTTCAATGACCTTATTAGAAGCTCTGTCATTGGAACAACAGATGTTAGTAAGCAAGATATCTGTCTTCAATATTGTAGTTGTAGGAAGACATCCAAAACATTTTGAACTTCTTCCATTTTCTAAAAATCAAGGATTTCAACAAAAATGAGCTCTATGTCATTCTTTTAAACTTTTTTTACACCGTCCAAGGAAAAAGTTAAATCATAAAACTTGGAGCCATTTTTTAGAACATTTTCTCATAATAAATAATGAATAAATGAGGCTGCAGGTAAAGTACCCCCGAAATTATAATACACATGTCAAACTCACAGGGTGTTGAGTTTCTTTAAATTAATTGGGGGATATCAATTTCAGAGAAAATCAGCTAAATGGTTTCGGTGTTAGTAATTGACCACTGACGGACGGATAAACAGGACACATTTTCATATCAAGGACTCGCAAAACATGGTAGTAATTTACTATGTATGAGAACAAGATTTATCCACCAGGGTCTGAGAAGAAGCATTTTATCACCAAAATCTCACTTTTTCCATCATATGATTACAATATTTTCTCTTCTTAGGAAGTAAGTGCAAGAAAATAAAAAAAAAATACATTGAAGAGCTATAAAAATTTACTCTTTTCTGTGGTATCCAGTAAAATAAGAGAATATTTAATTTTGGGTGGTACTAGAAAAACACCAGAAATACGAGGCACCTGCCATTTACTTACTTTATGAAAGTTCTCAAAAGATAAAACATGAAATCAATTTTAAACTAAGACACAGTTGAACTGTTTCCATTTTATATTTGAATGTTCCTGCAGGGTGGCCAGTGAAACTGGAATCATTGAAAACTGGGGGAAAACAGGAATTTGATTTTAAAACCCAGATTTTCATTTGTTTTAGATATTTTAGTAAAAATTCACATATGTCATTGTATTCAGTAAAGTGACTGATTCAAAATAGTACATGATAACAGCGAGTTAATCTCGAAGATTGGATGAAAAATGATGTACGTATGCTTCAGGGTTGCAAAGTCCTTGTCTCGCAGGTGACATGACATCTCACACTGCCAAGTGTGTAGGGTCAACATGGGTAGGGTAGGTAGCGCAAGAGAGCACCTATGTGTGGTTGACAAAGTGTAGCACATGTAAGGATGAGATATTTGTGGACAAAACATCTCACCAGGCACTCGATCACTGAGTTTTGTCAGAGAAAGCCAGATCGCCGGCAACCCTGTCCTGACAAAAGAACAAAAAAGGTCATAAAAGATCAGTTAGTGGAATTTCGAATATTACCATTTGATTGTTAATCTTTTAGTTAAATGTTCACTATATACCTAAGTTATTAATGTCTGAGCTTGCAACAAGAACAAATAATAAGAAATATGAGTATACTTTAAAAGGGAAAATCATGCCTTGCCTCGAAATTTTAGTCCATCTGTGACTTGGTTGACTTCCATCACTGTCATTCTAACATAACAATTTTGCTCTAAACCTTTTTGTAGAATGCATACTATAAATGTTATTTGTGAATAATATTTTTTGTGGTCCAACATGTATATATATAATAAACATTTATCACACTTGTAACTTGATGTATGTGTTCAATTTGAAATATTATTAACATCTATTTTGTTAATTTGTATACATATGTATATATTTTTCTGGAATTGGATAGAAATTTTATGTGAAAGCCTGATCACTTTAGAAAAGTAGTTTTACGTATTTATCATTGATTCTTAAAATGTCCATTGATTGACTTTGGCTTTTTTCTTGTAAGATCCAGTCTTATTTAGCCACAATGACACTTTAAAACTAGTGATACTATAACAGCACATAATTTCTTGCATTATTTGACACAGATATGCAGTGTAATAACACTACTGCAAAAGTGTTTCCAACCAGCAAACACATTTTCTCCATGCTGAGATTCGCACCCAGGTCCATGGAGTTAACTCGTCATGCACATCATGTAGTTCGACCAAACTTGCTTTTGCAGAAGCTTAAAAAACTAATTAGTCTCTCTCATTATTTCTAACTGACGCAGTTTCCAAAAATGCAATGAGTTCAACGAAAATGGGACTTGAGCCGTTTTGTAACCCTTTGCTCTATGTGTGTGTGTGAGATATCTTAAAAATACTTCAAGCAAAAATTATGCGAAATCTACTTTTTTAAAAAAAAATTGTACATTACCTTTAGAGATCTAATTTTTACTTTCTAGCTTTACTAAGTCCTATTAAAGAGAAAATATTGTACTCATTAGGCGATTTTTGAACAGAAAACTCTTTGTTGTTGGAACCTGGTATTAAAAAAGGAGATAAATCTTGCTCTTGTATGTAGTGAATTTCTTCCTCCATCATGTTGTGTAGTCAGAATCCATGTTTTGTTGGTCCTTGATAAAGAAAAATCAATTGCCGGCAACACTATGTGTCTGTCAGTGGTCAATGCTAGTGCCTAAATCATTCTGATGTTTTTACCAAATTGATATTCCTTCATGGATCTGAACAAACATGAGGCCCTGTGATTTTGGAGCTGATTAATTTTTTATTTCTTGGGGATACTTTACAGGAAGCCTTGATATTTTCGAAAATTTCTTAAAAGTGGCTCCAAATTTTATGATTAAACTTCAGAACTCTTTGAAGAATGGTACAGGTCTCATTTCCCTTGCAAACTCTGAATATTAAATAATTGCAAAAGTTAAAAATTTTTGGAGTATTTTTCTGTTACTATAATACTGATAATACAGATTTTTGTCCTCAATGAAATCTGTTGTTGAAATGTGGATCTTGGAATGAAGTAATGTACAGTTTTTCAAAAATGTGAGTAGTTTTCGCTTAATTAGTGTGTGAAATGGCAATTTTTAAGCAATTATCTTTGCAACAGAGACCAATTGAGCTAATGATCCTTTAAAAAAAAGTAGCACAGAGAACTCCTTTTTACACACCTTGCGATTTTGAAAATCACGGCAGCTAGAAATAATGCAAGAAAGTAAGTGCTGTGATGGCACCACTAGTTGAGAACAATTTCATTGATGAATAAATATCTTATCAACAATACTGTAGTTTTGCAATGTTGATTTTTTGCAATTTTCAAAAATTTAGTGTGTTAGCTGAAAGATTTTTTTTAAGCTCTATCC